TTAATTGAAAGGATAATTAATTTTTATTTTTTTGCGGAAAAAATAGCGTCAGGGAAAGTGCAAAACCGCGTAACTAGCATTGGGTAATACCGCGCATCTACAGTTAAGTTTTTTTACTGGAGAAGGTTAAAACTTAACATATTCTTTTATTTCAACAGATTTTAGGTTCATTTTAGTATAAAGAGTATTATTCATGATTTTTGTAATGTCAACAATAGATATTTGGTGTTAGAATTCTAAATAGCCAATGCTAGTTACGCGGATTTGCACTATCCCCAACGATAGTATTGTTTCAGCAAAAAGTGGCTTAAAATTTGATCTTTTAATGATAAGTTTTGTTAATAACGAATCATTACATTACAAAAATTAATTCTAATTGCCAGGTTGGTATTTTTTTTACTTAATGTTATTTTTTTGAGCTAATATAAAGTGTTCATATTTACCAAGTGGTCTGGGTAATAGGAGCACTTTTGCTACTTTTTTAAAACGTGTTTTTAAGAAAAGGTTTTGGGTAAGCGAATCATAAGCAGGGATCCCTAAAAATTGTTTATTCGCGAAAATTTTAAATAATTTTTTTTTAAAATACTCCAATTTTTGCTTAAGGTGCTCATATCACCTTAATTTACCCTATAGTTATAATATAGTAAGACAGGTAGATGTAAAAAAATGTGTTATACAAAAACTACATGAAACTGTTTACTTATAATCATTCGAACTATAAGATATAAAATGTTCCAAAAGGACTTTCATACTGAAAAACAAAAAAAAAAGATGAAGAGAAAAAACAGAAAAACGCATAGACAACTGTCGTGCTTGTTTTGAATCTAAAACAATTAAAAAAAAGAGAGCTCAAAATTTCAATCACGCACTTTTATGGATTGTTAAAACAATTATCAAATCACCAAAAATCACAAGTGAGAAGATTTGAGCAGCAAAGTTCTTGCCTTAAATGTGGACGCTTCTTTAAGGTGGTACTAAAGCTAATATTAAATGTGGACGCTTCTTTAAGGTGATACTAAAGCTAATATTAAATGTGAACGCTTCTTTAAAAAGTATTTTAATACGATATATACTTTAAACATCATAATTGTTGGGAATAATGAGTATTACTACAGTGAACCAAAGAATATTACTCCCGACCTCAAGTGCAAAAGAAAAACTAAACTTGAAGTATAAGAATGGCTCGCAATTATTTCTAAAAAATATGACTAAACCAATAAACAAGCGTATAAAATCTCAAAATTTTATGTTTATGCGACACAATTATCGCAAAAAGTGACCAACGGAGCCGTCCAGTTTCGTAGACCTGAGAGATAATAAAAACAGTGATAATAAAAACAGTAAGAAGATGGTGTCATTGAATAAAAAATAAAAATCATAAGAAAATATAAAATGAGTGATAAGACTTTTGTGAGGGTAAATAACAAAGTTAAATGCTCGGGGGGCAGGAAGAGAACCAACTAACACTCTAATCACTCTGTATGTAGATCATATATAACAAAGAACAAATATTGAGTGTCAGCGTAGTCATTAGGTTATTGAGCGCCGTAACCACATCCAGCGGGATAGCCTAATGTCCGTTTTGTCGTTGTGGTGTACATTAGAAAAAGTCGGGGCTCACCAGCCAAAAAGAATAAATTTTTTTGCTTATGCGACACAATGATCGCAAAAAGTGACCAAAAAAGACCTGGGAGATGTGAAAATAAAAATAGATTGAAGATGATGTCATTGAGGTAAAAAAACATAAATTAATGCAAAGACTATTTAGTAGAAGGAGTAAAAGTTAGCAACTCAGGAAAAGAGGAATAAAAACTCACACTCTAGTCATCTTTTAGCAAATGATGAAACTATGATCTATGAGTAAACAAGTCAATAAAAATCCGCTGGTTTATAATGGTATTCATAACTAAAATAATCGCACCATACAAATGTCTAATAAATGTGGTACTATATATGTTCTAAACTCTAGATAAAAAATTGAGAACTGATAATCACCTGTGTAACATAAAAATATATAAGTGTCGTAAATGTAACAAATACATAATAAAAAGCTCACAAAGCGCAAAAATACATGGGTTAAAGAGGTAAAAAAGTGTTGGTGCCATAATAACCAATTAGAATTAAGTAGTGGATAAATGGTGATCCCCCTCCTCAGGAATGCACTGCGTTCACCAATGACGTTTCTGAGAGCCCGAGACCTGAACTAACGCCACTCGTCAGGGGCGTGTCCTAGCAACAGATCTCACTGCCTGCACTCTACGTCATCCTAGTCAATATTGCAATATAATAGGACTACACTACAAAAGCCAAAAAACTAAATCCCTATCCCAGTTTTTTAAAAACAGCTCCAACATTCTTAGAGATCTCGTGAGGGTGGTAAGGGATGCGCGTGGTATAGCTGTATATATGTGTGTAAATACACGCACTCACAACATACATACATACATACATACATACATACATACATACATACATACATACATACATACATACATACATACATACATACATACATACATACATACACATGAACATATCTATGCAAAATAGTGACAATAGAGCATATAGAATAGTGACAATGACAACAAAATAAAAAATAAGCAGCAGATAGTACATAATACTTCAAAGTGACTTACTATTTTTTAATAAAGTAATGCCTAATATATATCTGTTTATATATATATATATATATATATATATATATATATATATATATATATATATATATATATACCCTTACAAAAAAACCCAGCGAACTTCCAGCGAAAGTTCGCTGGAAATTAAAAGATCACTGGAAATTTACTAAGATCACTGGGTTTTCGCTGGATTTCCATGGAAACAAAAGACTTCGCTGGAAGTTCGCTGGAAATCCAACGAAAAACTTCCAGTGATCTTAAAGTTCGCTGGAAGTTTACTGGGTTTCTTGCGAATTATTTCGCGGTGATGTAAAAAGCGTTGCTGTTACAACTTCTGCAAGCAGTTAAAACTTGGAAAATTGATAATATAGCTTCTTAAAATAATATTTCAAATTTTTGTATAAAAGTAATCCTTTTTATTTTATTTTTTGCATCTAATAGATGATCTATAGTGTGAGTTTCAATTATTATTAGTTCTACTCAAGTTACAAAACAAAATCATCTGGTATGTTGCTCAAAATGTTTATTTCTCTTAAGTATTGTTTATTATGCATTCGCTTTATGCGAATGCATTTTATTTATTAAATTCAACTTTATTATTTTATAAAAATAATTTTTATAAATGTCTTTATGATTAAGTATTTTATATTAAAAATAATAAATAACAATCTGTTTCTCTCTCTCGCTGAAAGAGAGGGATATATAATATATATCCCTCTCTCTCTCAGTATATATATATATATATATATATATATATATATATATATATATATATATATATATATATATAATATGTTAGTGTATTCTACAAATAGAGTGCTTAACGTTCTTAAAGAACAGAGCAATAATAAATTAGTATATATATATATATATATATATATATATATATATATATATATATATATATATATATATATATATATATATATATATATATATATATATATATATATATATATATATATATATATATATATATATATATATATATATATATATATATATATATATATATATATATATATATAATATGTTAGTGTATTCTACAAATAGAGTGCTCAACGTTCTTAAAGAACAGAGCAATAATAAATTAGTATATATATATATATATATATATATATATATATATATATATATATATATATATATATATATATATATATATATATATATATATATATATAATATGTTAGTGTATTCTACAAATAGAGTGCTCAACGTTCTTAAAGAACAGAGCAATAATAAATTAGTAAAAACACTTATCTAATTTTTATTTTCTTCTACAGCTTGTTTCTCCATCAGTAGGATCATCAGGAAGGAATCTTTCTGATGATCCAACTGATGGAGAAACAAGCTGTAGAAGAAATAAAAATTAGATAAGTGTTTTTACTAATTTATATATATATATATATATATATATATATATATATATATATATATATATATATATATATATATATATATATTTGTGAAGTTGCTTTAAGTACTAATAAGCAATGTACAAAATGTTTGAAATATTTTACATTATCCTATCTTTATAAGAAATGCAGTTATTTTCATATTTTAAACATAAACAAATAGCATAAAAACATGTGTGATAACAATTGGATACATTTAGCAAGTCTTGAAGAAAATGTGCAAGCAACAATTAGACTTGTTGTTAATACTGATGGAATTCCTGTTTTTAAATTATCAAAGTGGACCTTGTGGCCTTTGCTAGCATCCATTCATAATTTTCCATATTCATTGCAAATTACTAATATTTTGTTTTTTGGTTTCTGGTCCAGTTTTAAAAAACCAAACGTGCAATTATTTTTATCTTGTTTTGTTGATTTTTTACTAACCTATCCACTACTGGTATACTCTTATCCAATAATGTTCGTGTTTTTTTTCATGTATCTATTTTTTTGTGTGATACAATTGCAGGAGCTATGGTTTTTTGTTGTAGGTAGTTTAATGATTATAATGGTTGCCATTGGTGTTCTTCTCAAGGGGTAAAAGTTAAAAAAAGGTAGGAGGTCTTGTATGACTTATCCATTTTCTGATGTTAATGGGAGTTGTAGAAACCATACAGATTTTTTTTTGGATTAATGTGATTAAAGGGTTTTTAGATTTTTCTACATTTGTAAGAGTACCTAATTTTAATTGTGAAAATGAAACAGTTGTTAATAATCTGCACTGTATTGAGCTTGGTGTTATGAAAGCTATGTTTTCTTTCTGATTTGATAGTTATTATTCTGGTTATATTTTTTCTATTAGAAGACACTGTACTGTTGTAAATAATCTTTTATCTGCAATCAGTGTGCCAAGCAATATAAGACAGACTCGATGATCAATAAGTTGTATAAAGCATTGGAAAGGTATTGAGTTTTTTACTTTTTTAGTTTTTTATGGTCCTGTTATTTTATGTGATGTTTTGCCTCCTCAGTTTTTTGACCATTTTACTCTTTTATCTAATATTGTTTTTACGTTGAACAATAAGGTATTATCTGAAAGTGTAATTAATGAAGCCACATTATTAGTTAATAGATTTTTTTATGAGTTTTCTGATTTGTATGGTAAAGAAAATATGTTTTATATTAAAGAGTTATTTTAAAGCAGTTATATATATACAGAGCTTTTTTTAAAGCAGGTATTATATTTTAATGCAGTTTTTATTTAAGTAAACTAAAATCTTTCTCTCTCTCTCTCTCTCTCTCTCTCTATATATATATATATATATATATATATATATATATATATATATATATATATATATATATATATATATTTTATATATATATATATATATATATATATATATATATATATATATATATATATATATATATTATGTATGTATATATATATATATATATATATATATATATATATATATATATATATATATATATATATATATATATATATAAATTTTATACAGTATTTATTATATGTTTTTATAAAATTGTTATTGATGTCCTTTAAATATTGTATAAACCATCTTTTTTTTTTAGCTTTAAAGACCCAAACGAAAATACTTTTAAAGTCAATTTTCGCAATTCTGTTTGTTTTGTTATGCTAATTTGTCAGTAGAGAACCAACAGACCACTGACTTCATAATTTTTCCATCTAAAATTATACTAAAATATCCTAATAAATACAATTTTAATTAGATGATATAAGTTATCAGAGAAAGTAAACAAAGTACAATTATTCAGAATAAAAAATGTAACTACTGCCATTTGGTTCTCGACTTTTTTGAAATGGGCTAAAAAACATGCTTAAGCATCATATTGCCTATAAGATATACTTACTGCAATATTTTTCTTTTTCACTAATATACAGGTTTAAGTTTTGCTATATAATGACTATTATGTTTTTTACAGATTTAAATATCTATATCAGTACAGAAAAGTAGAGCTGTATGATTTTTTGTTTTGTTGATTTAAACAGTTGAAAATTTAAAAAAAAAATAGTTTAAAAATTGTAAAGTTCCTTATAAAAAAAAAACCAGAAAACTTCCAGTGAAAGTTTGCTGGGTTTTTAAATTAAAATTATTTAGTTATTATAATAATTGATTATATATATATATATATATATATATATATATATATATATATATATATATATATATATATATATATATATATATATATATATATATAATTAAGTTTTTATTATTTTATCTATAATTATTTTTTTTATGCAGGATAAAAGTGATAAAATGCTATTGGTTGGAAATTGATAAATTAATAAAAAATGATTGATTCTAATTGCGCGAAAATATGTTGGTATGTTTTTATCTATCTTATACTGTTTTATTTTTGCTTATCATTTCACATTTTGTCTTATTTTGAATATTATGTTTTATATAATTATTAGTTAGTGTTTGTAAAACACTAACTAATTTTGATTGCTGTTAGATTTTGGATACTGCCTCTACCATTAACAAATTAAAAATAAAAGAAGCACTTCATATTAAATGGGAAAATCCTAAATATAAATTTATCTAACTAACTTACTACATTATTATTGTTATTTTAATATTAGGAGGTTTATTTTGTCATAATTTGTAATAAAATTTTTAATTGATTTGTAGCAAATTTATTTGTCCATTAATTTTTTCTCTGTATTGTCTTCAGTTTTTAAATTTATTTATCAGAATATATATATATATATATATATATATATATATATATATATATATATATATATATATATATATATATATATTAGTAGAAAGTCACTTAATAGAAAATTTTTTAAAAGTTTTCGATGTAACAGTGTAAAATGAAAAAAAATTTTTGTTAAGTAATTTTCTACTTATTTATAATTGCTCTGTTCTTTTAAGAACATTGAGCACTCTATTTTGTAGAATACATTTTGAAGATTGTTTAAATATATATATATATATATATATATATATATATATATATATATATATATATATATATATATATATATATATATATATATATATATTCTTTATTTATTGTATGCATTCTTTTTTTTTTTTTCTTTTTTTTTTTAGCTCTAAAGACCCAAACCGAAAAGAATGCCTAAAGTGGTTTTCAAAAGATGAATTGACGAATTTCTTAATTCTTTTTGTTTCGTTGTGATAATTTGTCGTATGAGAACGCTAACGAGAAAAAACTTTTTAAATATAGAAACATGCGTAATATAAAGTTTACTTATGCCTATAAAAAAATATGTTTTACATTAATTAATAAATTAACTTTTTAGTTTCTTGTTAAAAATTGTATTCTGTATTGAAGTTTATTTCTGAGAATTTGTAATTATACCTAAGATAATCTAATCCTACATTGTATTTTAATTTATAAAACTCGATATTTTAAAATAAATATATTACTTTTTTATCGCGCTTAACTTCTCTTATTTCGCGTTTATTGGTTATAAAAAATTTAAAATGTTTATAAACTTTTGAAACTTTTATAGCAAAAATAAAAAATCTTTTTTAAAAAAACTTCCAGCGAATCTATTTTTATACATAAACATGAAAATTCGCTAGAAAAGTTCACTGGAAGTTCGCTGGGTTTTGGAACAAGTTCGCTGGAAATTTCCAGCGAACTTCCAGTGATCTTTAAAGATCACTGGAAAAGTTCGCTGGAAGTTCGCTGGGTTTTGGAACAAGTTCGCTGGAAATTTCCAGTGAACTTTAGAGATCACTGGAAAAGATCACTGGAAGTTCGCTGGGTTTTGGAACATTTTTTCACTGGAAGTTCGCTGGGTTTTTTTGTAAGGGTATATATATATATATATATATATATATATATATATATATATATATATATATATATTAACAATCCAGGAAATCACTACTCGTAACGATTTAAACTAGGATAAAAATAGTGGTGTAGAGTTTAGTAAGACAATTTATCAGTTTAGTGAAAGACACCAGTCTAAAGACTGTCACAAAGAAAATCACGAAAAGAATCTCAGTCTGCTTTTAGATAGTAGTAAGTAGTGCTACGATAGGGTGAGTCCAAAGAAAAAGTACAAGATGAAAAATTTATTGAGATCGTTTTGCATGGTTAGAGCTACCTATGAGAGAAAAAGAAGAAAATGGACACAAGTTGGTTCAGAGACAAGACACAAATCAAGGAATAAAGGTAAATGAATAGGGTTGTCAGGAAAAAGAGTCAAAAAGTTAACTACTGAATAATAGATTAAGAAAGACATAAGTAGTAGGCTTTAGTGCCAGCATGGTCAGTAGTGTTAGAACCATACCATTCAGTGTGAAGAGCATTAAAGTCACCAATAACAAATATAAAACACGAGGGCATGGTAAGTTTGATCAAAAGTTGCATCTAAAAGTGTGCGGTCTTGGGAATAAGGAGAACGATAAAAACAAAAAGAAAGGTAATAGAGTGAAGTGGTGCAAAGTGAAAGCGCATTAAAGTGCGAATTAATTAAATTAATTAAAGCACATTAAAGCTCGAATTTTCAAATCTCAGTGTTGGTGGGATATTACCCACAAACACTGATATTTAAAAAAGGGAATTTAAATTAGTCTCACTAAGAGCAAGCAAGCCTGGTGAGCTTTGTAAGAGATAAAATTCAACTAATGAAAGGTTGCTTTGCAGACCACAAATATTTGTAAAAGATGTACTAAAATTATATTTATATGATATATTAAAGTTAGGTAGTGGGGAAGATTTTATATGTTTTGGCTTACTTTTGGCATGATTAAAGTTTAAAGATAATTTGACTTATTGGTAGATAGAGCACGGCCTCCTAAGTAATGAACTATGAAGTTGTCACAGTCTCATTAACTAACCCAAAGTCGTAACTTTATGCCCCCTATGTATCCTCGACATTGCGTATTAAAAGCAATAACTTAGATACCATCCATGCAAAGTATGGTGATGTCAATACTTTAATATTTTGCCGTTGTTGATAGAATAAGCATCTTTGAGAGCTAACACCAAAAATGCGAAGTCCTATCAGTTTTTAGGGACTCCGGACTCCGGGGTCAGAAAAAGGGTCTCCGGACTCCGAAATTTTACTAATACTACTAATATAATTTAGGTCAACGAATTTATTTACTTTTTTACTCATATACTTTGACTAGCGGGTTTGCTTTTTTATTTTATTTTATTAATTTAGTTTAATCATTAAATCTTTTAAAAATGTTCTAAAACTTGAAATAACTTGAATTTCTGTCAATTTTATCTATTATATATAGCATCAAATACATATATAAATAAACTATATATATAAATAAAAATATATATAATTAAACATTTAAACAAAATTGAAATTTTATTTCAATGTTATATTATATATATTTTTCTTTTATGTCTTTCAATCATGTTAAACTGGCTCGACCAACGGGTAGCCTGATCTAAAATAGAAATTAAGTTTAGATATCTGAAGTAGTCAACCCATTTTGAATTTCTTGCAAATTTTACAACTTTTCTTGCACTACTAATTAAATTCTTTATCGTGGGTTTCTTTAAGACATCATTGAGTGCCAGCTTTTTTTGAAGGTGAATTATGTTCATACTTCTAGCAACTTCAGCAGCTAAAACTTTTGCCTCATTATCCTATGTAGAAAGGCCATCCTCGTCTAACTCATCTAATGCAAATTGAAAATCGACTTTCTCTTTGTCGATATCCTCCATTGCCTTGCTGCTGAAGTCACGCAACAACTTTATGTTTACCTAACATATGTTTCATTTTGAAAAATATTTAATGAATATTCAAATCAAATAATATTTTTAACTTAAATGAAAAAAGATTTTAATTATAAATTCACAGTTATTTAAATTGTCCACACTTATGCCTAAAACGTTAGCTTTTTCGGTTCTAAACTTATCTAAACATTTTTCAATAATCTTTTTAGTGTTGGCTGCCATTTGTTTTCCTTTTGTATCAACGGTGTTAAGATTAATAACTTCATCATCTATGGAGTATTGGGTATTAATACCAAGGTAGTGACGCATATGTCTTGTTGTCGAATCAACTTTTAAATAGATCAATAGTTTTCAAATAATTTTGGTAAAATATGTTTGTTTTTTTATTTAAGATTAATTGCGACAAAGAAATTTTGAAAATAGGAAAGTACAAATAACAAGTTAAAAACAAAAAGTCTCGGAAAATGAATAACATAAATGTAAATCTTTTAATAAATCTTAACCTAGAATGAAAGTCCTTCAACTAAAACCAGTTCATTTAACACTTAAAAACTCCTCCTTTTTTAAATTCAAATTAACTTGCTGAGGTGGAAAACACTTTAATATAGGCTGCTGCAAACTACTCTGGTTGCCTGTAAACTTCTGGTCTGTAAACTTCTGGTCTGTAAACTTCTTCTTTTTCTTGTCCTCTTCTTTATCTCTAGTTTTTCTTTTTCTATATTTTTCTAAAAAAAGTTTCAAAAAGTATTTTTTTGCTAAGTGTCGAATAAAGTTGCTCAAGTGAGCTTTTTTGGCACACATTTCTTCCCCATTATTACGCCAAATTAACACATCACGACAAAAATGTTGTAATGTATTTTTATTTAATATGAATTATATCAAATCAAAAAATATTATGAAATTTTATTCTAACAATGTGCTCAGACACCTTTAATAGACTTCACTTGCTACACTTTTAAAATGATACTTTCTACCAGTGTTAAAAAAGACTTGTTTGCAAAAAAAGTTTGAACAAGTGGTTCAGATAAAATATCCATGTGTTAAAGTAATTATAATAACGACTTTCAGACTTTTTTTTATCAGTAAAACCATATCTATCATTTTAAGCAATGTTATTAGAAAAACGTGCTTAAAAAAATACTTTCTTTTACTTTAGCATCAACACAGGTTTGAGCGTGTAAAAATTAGTGCTTAAGCATAATTCGACATCTAGTGATCAGTGTACACATAAGGTCTTGTACACCGCATGTGAAGTAATTCGACTAACTCCTTATATTCTGTAAAAGTAATGCATGCTATAGACGATGTATGCCATAAAAATGCTGCAAATTTCTGAATAACTTATATGCCGTAGGGCTTGCCGTACGCAGCGCAATTCAGTACGTTCGAGCTTTTACTGGTTTAAAGTTACGTATCTTTTGGCTAAACAATTTTAAATTAATACACTTGTAGAAGTTAATAACGGTTTGTTAGGAAATTTTTATATGCTGATTAAAATTTAAAAAATCCCGGATTCCAGGAGTCCCCAAAATTATAAGGTTGGGCGGGACTCCGGGTAACAACAAGGACTCCTGAATTCCAGACTCTTACTTCGCATCTCTAGCTACCAGTTCGGGAAACCCTACTAGCAGCCGGTCTTAGAACTACTAAACTAAGTTTTAGAGCTGCGCCTTTTTTAGGAGATAATAGGAAGAGTTACATAGCTACTATCAAGGAGGCACAAGTAAAAACCTATGAGTAGAGTAAAGAAGATCCAGCATTTATCATTCTAGGCCGAAAACAATGCAATACAAGTAATATCTACGCAAGCCTTATTGATGAAGAATAGGTTCAATGCTGGTCAGCAAAATTATTTTGCTCTAGCCTAATGTCTTTGCCTAGAAGACCTTCGACAAGACAGTTGCTAAATGCATTTAACATCTGTCTTTAGATGAGTATTTTTATCGAAACACTATTTCTAGCCATCACTCAATCAAGATACACAAGGAATTTTTAAGTTAGAATTTGTTTCTTTTAGCCTTTCCAAGGAAAACAAATCCTAAAAAGCAGCCAGGCATAGGGAAGATATTACTGGGTTACATAATAGCAGTAGTAGGGTGATCGTGATGATCCTGAACCTGACCTGACTTTGAGTTGGTAAAAGTAGTTACTTCCTGTAAACATTACTTTAAAACATTAAACAAGATATTTTAGAAATACATTGGGAAATATTATATTACATTTAACAAAATACAATGGATCAGAGATTTAAACAGAACAAAAACATGCATAAAGTAACCTGTGTTAATATTTCTCGTAAGACTGCTCAATACAGCGTGTTATATAATTGGTAAAGCAAATGAAATATAGAGGAAACTAAATAATTTTTAAGATATATTTTAATCATATAACTAGAAGTTTCACGATTGTCAGATGTAACCATCTTTTACATTTTTAGCGATTGAAATATATCTTAATAATTATTTAGTTTCCTATATATATATATATATATATATATATATATATATATATATATATATATATATATATATATATATATATATATATATATATATATATATATATATATATATATATATATATATATATATATATATATATATATATATATATATATATATATATATATATATATATATTATATTATATATATATATATATATATATATATATATATATATATATATATATATATATATATATATATATATATATATATATATAT